AGTTAAGTCTAATTAAATAATCACCTAAGAAATTAGTGCCTAATATAATTGAAATGTTCTTAGTGGGTTGAAAGATGCTAGTACGGGTAATTAAAAGGCCTAAACTAGATAATAAAATTTTAATTGTAATTAAATTAGAGGAGAAAGTAATACACTTAATTAGAAGTTAATCATGATTATAATAATCCGAACTACAACTTGGGTACCTAAATCACCACTAACAATATTGACCGTATCTTTGATTTGTTTACTCAGTGTAACTTATAGCTTTTATGCTCAGTTAGATTTTGAGCCAAAGAAAAATGGTCAATTAGATTGTTGACACTCTACTTGTTACTTTACTTTTCGATACAGTGTAATTTGACTAGAATGTAGGTTTAAATGAGTTTAACTATCACTTTCCATAAAGAAACTTTTTTTTATCATATGATAAAAAAATCTAGTTTAATCTATCATATATCTTGCTTCATGAACATCGAAATAATATCAGTATATTAACGGCTAGTTGTCTTAACGGTAATGCCACCTACCATGTTTAGATGAGGTCTTAGGTTTAGTTGATATATTTGTGCTTTTACATGTGTTTAAATTGTATTAAATAAAAAATATCAACCATCCACTATGAAACAAAAGAGTCTCAACATGGAAAACCAACCAAAGAAACAGCGCAATGACACCTGGCAAGAGATCAAAAGTCCAATGAGTACTCATGCTGCCGCCTATGCTGTTGTATCTGAATAGAACTCATTCGGTTTACGACGTATAGGTCAAGTGGAAAATAACAAGAAGAAAAAGATCAGGTGGTCGACGCCCGCAATAGAAGACTCTTCAGCCAAGGAGAAACCCAGCCTCAAAGACTGGTTAATGAAGTCCTTTCTTTGACTGATCAAATTATAAGAGTTGCTGAGTTTCGCAAGCAACTCACTAGGTAATCTTTAAGTTGTTTTCCTTTTTTCTAAAGACCCCTCTGTCATCTATTATTTTAATAAAATCTCTTTTCGCTCAAAAAAAAAAAAACCAGGTGGTCGATTTTCAGTTTAAATATGATGTAATATTATGATTAAAATTTTTATTTATTTCAGTCCAACTCTAAAAATTTTTTAAATTAAAACAAATAACTAATTCTAATGATATGCGTTTTTTTAACCACTATCAATTTTCTTTTGTAATCAAAAGCTTATGTGAGTTGAGTCTCGAGAACTTATCAAGATCAGAGTATGTCTTACCAACAAGGTCCTCACATCAATTATAGGATTTGAATGTAACTTAGAATTTTTTGGATTATAAATCAACATCTTACTAACTAGATCAACCTTTATTGATAATATTTATCAAAATTGTCAACTAAGATGATCTCCTTCTCAATAATTTTTTATTACAATATATATTATAATAACACAGACACACAAATACACATCTAGTTAGTTAACTTTTGACAGCAACATGTGAAAAACTCATAATCACTATAATCGAGTTAATCCTGATTTAACAAGATAGCATGACTATGAGAATATTAATATTTCAAAGTTTTTTATAAACTTTTTTGCCCACTCCTTTTTAGGTTTTGAAAGTTGTGCATAAATAGGCCGTCAGGGTGTCATACAAGAATTCACAAATTATTCTAAAGTTAGTCACCAAAAAAATGTTGGGATTTATAGGATAATATTTTGATTATTTGGTCTATTTCCTTTTCCCTAAAATGTCGATCATCACTTAAAATGTACTTCCTTTTTTTTCCCTCAATACTGTGGCCTAGCTAGTGCCTGGATCGATTGGCTACCTAAATTTAGGCCTGAATAAAGAATTATTAGTTGTGACTTGGCAATCAAAAATCAAACATCAGTATAACTGAGGCAAGTTTTATAGTACTAATAATTATACATCACATGCTAATAACTTCCCTTTCTAGCTATATACCTAATGGTCAAGATCCCCTCTGGTTTTGGTTTGGCCTAGTAGGCCATGCCCACCTATTATCTCTCTCCTTTTTCAGCGAAGGCACGGAGGGTTTAATTTTACCAACTCTTCTCCCTTCTCTATGTATGTTTATGTTTATCAAGGAATTTTAAATTTGTCATTTGTTTGATTGATTAACTTACTAAAATTTTTTATAGGAAAATATGCGCGCCATGTTGAGGGTGATAGACACTTGCCAGTTCATAAGATTATTGAGAAATTTAATTTCGTATTTATCAGTTGCTTTAAATATATGACAGAGTGACTTATTTAGATTCCGGGTACTTCTCTTGAAATGTATTTTTATTATATATATATATATATTAAGAGTTAGATATATAACTAATTTGTGCATATATTAGACAAATTAGTTAATATTATTGTTTGTAAGAAATGTGTGTCAATGTTTTTTAAAATATCTTTTTATTAATTATTTAAATTGAAAACTATTTCGTAATTTAGTAACTGCAATATAATTAACTTAAGATATAAAGTCAATTGAAGTTTTATATTTCAAACTAAAATAAATATTTTCACTAGTTCTTATATTTAAAATCAGATATATAATATATATTTTTAAAATATAATTTGGGACTTAGCTAGTAAGGATCTTAAATATTCAAGGATTATTGCTCATTGAACTTCTGTAATTTCCAACTGAAATTCTGCTACTTCTCACTATTTTCGGTTCTTTACAATTCTACGTCTTTAACCATAATTAATCTCCTTACAATGTCCCAAAGTTTCATTTTTCCTAGTTTTTATCTCAATTTGTTTAAGATAAACTATATTAAAATATATTCAAAAATCAATTATGAATAATTTAATTTAATCTCAAACGACCGATTCAAGGTAGATGCTATTTCGTTACGAATCAAATATGGATTTGATTAATATTATCGCCTGAAAAAATGGACCGGTTCAGCACAATATTTATTAAATATGTTTTCATTTTTTAAAAATAAATTGGTAAAAGGAGAGATTATCAAGGTTGTCAAACTCACGAGTTTAAGCAAACTCGTGATAAGGATGCTAGGTCAGATCATAAACTCGAGCCGTAAATTCGTAAGAGTTCACTTTTATTAATAAATTAGTATTAAAAGTATATAAATAAATAATTAAAATATTAAAAATAGAAATAATTTTATCTAAATATATTTTGAATCCAAATAATTGAAATTAAATCCAACAACATTCATAATTTACTATATACAACAAGAAAATTTCTATGAAATTCACATATAAAGTCACTGAACATAATCAAATTAAAAAATTTAGCATGAGTTTAAGAATGGGTTAACATGATTTTATAAGTTAAAAACATAAAAATGGTAAATTTGGTGAGTGAATTTGTAGGTTCAATCAAGTTTATAGCTATCACTAATTTAATAGTGAGTTGACACAATTTTATAAACTAAAACTGTAAAAACATTAAACACGAGAACTAACATGTGAGTTTGATAATAATGAAGACTATTCCACTAAAGAGGATTGCATTGTCAAATAGCCAGTGAAACTGTTTTTATTTTTATTTTTATTTTATTTCCAATGCCTTAGGAGGATAAGTATGGTTTTTAAATAATGTTTAAATTATAAATATTTACGATTTTTCTTCCATATAAGAGATAGAGACTTTACAACACCCGATGACCATGGAGAGAAGACCCAAGAGAGACAGGCCATTCTGTACATTATAAATAATAAGGGTTAATGCTATTAAGCCTAGGTTTTTAAAGACAAATATGGTTTAATAGTGGAACTTTGAGTGCATTATAATAGATTGGAACTAACTTTTATTCAATTTTCTATAAATCAATTATGAATGCACATGCTTGGCTGCTAGTTGACCTTTTAATTATTATTCCTCCAGTGTTAAATATAATAGCTAAATAATTACTTTATAAATATTATAAAAATTATTTTAAGTTAAGTATTTATAAAAAAATGTGTCAAGTTTTCTAAAGTCTCCCTTTTAATAATTTTCATTGGATACTATGTCTTTGATTGGAAAAACTAATATCTGCAATTAATAAAAAAATTTAGAAAAAATTATAAATTTAGGAGACAAAATAAATTATCAATTACGGTTTTATATTTAAAATCAAAATAAATTCATATAGTAAATATTATATTTGGAACAAGAGGGAGTATTAAATTTGCCTAACTACAATAATGCATGTGCATCATTCAGTTTTGAGCTCCAGTACAGGAAGTTACAAGTCAAACCCGCCAATTTTGATTTATTTTATTGATTGGGGTTTTTAAATTGAGAACAATTAATGGAAGTAAAGGAAACATCAATTCATTTTTTTTATTTGGGAATTAATTGTTTGATGGAGGGATGACTTAGACTTATTTTATTATAATTGGAGGAGGTCATATGCTTTGTACATAGCCTAAAATGAATTCCGCGTTCTTCACAACTTAATAAAAGTTGTGACTCACTATTGTTTTTTTATTAAATGATTATACTTATATAATTTATATTGGACTCATATGTCAATTATATGCGTGGTTTTAAATAAAAATATATTTATATATAGATGTTGATCGATAGTATATTTTCTTATTAATTAGATCTACTTCAATTTCTTCCGTTATTGGATCTGAAATAAAGCATTTTAATTTAATTAATATATATGTGTGTTGAAATATTTTTTGGAATATAGATTTAATAAAAAAAATTCAAACTCAATATAGTCATATTTTCAACAAAATTTAAAAAACATTGTGGAATTAAGAAAGCAGGCACTCCTTTAATTTGATATTCTCTAAACTTGCATATTTTTAAATTAATCCATAAGCGTATCTGTTTTCCAAACAAGGGTATGAAAGCAACTCCACCATTACGTAAACGTATCTATCTATTCAAATTATTGAAGATTAGCACAATGACTAGTTAATTAATGATAATAAACAATAATATCCGAAATAATATAATAAATATCATGACATATGTATCTCTAAATATTCTTGTTCTACAATGATCGATTCCTTATTCCAATAGGGGAGAGGAGAGACCAAGGAAAAAGACTTCTTCTCAGATCTCTCTCTCTCTCTCTCTCTCTCTCTATGTAGTTTATGGGAACATCTATATAGGGCTAGGCTTCTTATTGTTAAAATTTGCAGCTAAAGACGATTGTGATCATTATATTGAGAGTTACATGAGCATGGAGACGTTGGATGAGATGCTTGTGTCAAGCTGGTATAATGCTCGTTCCTCCGTGCCATCATCGTACATACAGCCACCGGAATGCCGACCGGGGAATCTAGCTGCTGCTTCCAGCGAGGCAATTCCGGTGATAGATCTTGGAGGACATGATCGAGCTGATATTGTGAGGCATGTCTTGAAAGCTTCCGAGGAGTATGGATTTTTCCAGGTTTCTTAATCTTTTCCCTACTTTCTGAGATAAATCTCATCTTGAATCTCCTCTCTCTCTCTCTCTCTCTCTCTCTCTGATGTCTTTATCAAGTGCATATATATATATACACCACCTTTTGATCCTAAATATATAGGGGCTAGTTGAAGTATTTGTTTTGGTCTAAAATATAAAACCTCAATTCATTGTGTTCTAAATTTATAAACTTTTTCTCAAGTTATCTTTATTGATTGCATATATGAAAGGGATTTCCATCAATGGGGTACTGCACATAATGATCTAAAAGGGATTATTATAGAGAAATCAATAAATATTTATTATAAATAACTAACTTAGCTAATTTTCTTAATATCTATAAATTAGCTATCTAGTTCCTATAATCAAGATTGAAGGAAGTGTGTGTATGTGTGCGTGCTTCTCCTAATCGATTTAATGGTAACCCCTAGCTATCAATTAAACTGTGAAGTAGGTGGTGAACCATGGAGTTTCGAAGGATTTGATGGATGAGACTGTGAGCATTTACAAGGAATTTCATGCGATGTCTGGGAAGGAGAAGATAGAGGAATGCTCAAAGGACCCAAATGGAAGCTGCAAGCTGTACACAAGCAGCCAGAATCACAAGAGAGACGCAATTCAGTATTGGAAGGACTCGTTGACTCACCCGTGTCCTCCTTCTGGAGACTTCATTCAGTATTGGCCTCACAAACCAACTAATTATCGGTAATAATTAAGTCAACATTATAACAATCCTCTACACCTTAATATAGGAGTCAGATAATATTGGCGAGAAAGAAGAATTAGATAACTAATTAACAAATATTAAGAAAATTAGTTATTATTGTAAAAATGTGTTTTGATTTCTCTAAAATACCTCATTTACTTGTTTTCATTGGAAAACCGCATCGATAAAAGACTCTTTTAATGTTTGCTAAGTTGATTGAGAATTTACATTACATAGAATAATCATATATTTAAAATCAGAGGGAGTGATTCAGAATGTATATATTATTATTTTGTAACCCTTTTGAGTTTTTCATTGTAGTTCATTCCATATCATTACATAGAATAATCAAACATCGATGAAATATTCGCCTTCAATTAGATGACGAAAAATTTAATTCCAAAAAAACTAAAGACGTAACGAGAAAATCTAGGTCACCCGGCTGCATTAATATTATCAAAATTATAAATATATTTGAAAGATAGAATCAACTTGTATTCAATTCTTTCCCAACATCACACAAGTAAACTTTCTCTAATTTCTCTTGATTAAATTAAACAATTAATTGTAACAACTAACATGATTTCTTTCGGTTTTCCTTAGTGAGGTTGTTGGGAAATACACAAGAGAACTGAGAAAACTGGGGTTGAAAATTCTGGAGCTGCTTTGTGAAGGGTTAGGACTAAACCCTGGTTATTTCAGTGGAGATCTTTCTGAAAATCCAATGATATTGGTTCATCACTATCCTCCTTGCCCTGACCCAAGTTTAACCCTAGGCTTGGCAAAGCACAGAGACCCTACACTCATAACCATTCTGCTTCAAGAGGAACATGTTCAAGGACTTCAAGTTGTCAAGGATGGACAATGGATTGGAGTTGAACCTATTCCTAATGCCTTTGTGGTTAACATAGGGCTCATCTTACAGGTATTATTTATATTTCATATAAAAAAGTATCATTAATTGCCGATTGCATAGTTTCGTCCGTAAATAATGTATTCTCTTTTGTCTTAAATACAAGAACTTTTTTTTTTTTGCCATCGTTAAATATAAAAACTAGATAATTATTTTGCAAAGATTAAAAAAAATTAGTTACTAAGTTAATTGTTTGTTTAAAAAAAGTGTATGTTGCTTTTCGTAAAATATTCTAATCATTTGCATTAAAACTATTTCTTGATAGAAACTTCCTTAATATATACAATAAAAAAATATGCCTGTTGGAAAAAATTATAAATTTGAGAAACAAAATAGACTGATATTTTACATTTAAGAACAAAATAAAACCCCCAACTAGCTAGCCCCTACGTTTGGAATAAGGGAGTATGTTACTTATACATATATTGGTTTATGCCTGGGTGATGTATGCCATTATTATTCCAATTGTTATTGTCGTTGACATAATCAAGTTTGTACGGACAAAGAAGAAAATGTTTTCTTAAAATAAATGATTACGTCAATCAGTTTAGTTAATTAATATGAGTATGATTCATTGTATATAGTTACGCTATTGACATGAACTAGTAAGCTTACGGCATGTCCCACCTTGCAAACCTGAATGTTCCTAACAGTAATTAAACTTTTTATTTGATCTGTCTGTTTTACTTAACTCAATAGCTTGATTAACTATATTTGACTGAAACAGATAATCAGTAATGGAAGGCTTATTGGTGCTGAACACCGAGTAGTGACAAATTCAAGCACTTCACGAACAAGTGTTTCCTATTTCGTTTATCCTTCAAATGAAAGCATTATAGAGCCTGCAAAAGTTTTAGTCAATGGAAGCTCCACACCAACTTACAGATCCATGACATGTGCAGAGTTTCGAGGAAATTTCTTCAGCAAAGGTCCCAAGGTTGAAGATGAATTGCACTCCTAAATAAATCTAATTGACAAGCAAAAGAAACTGAAGCTGAAAGTCAAGTCGTTATGACTTTTCAGACTATAGAAACTGCTTCATGTAATTATTAACTAAAAGTCTGTGCAACATTCAAATAAGCTAGAAAGTAAAAATAAGAATGAAGCGATATAGTAATTAAGGTTTTTATAAATCTATAAAATGATACAATTATGGCGACTTACATATGGTATACGTAATTGTTTTCTTTTATATCGATGGGAATGAGAGAAATCTGTAAACATGTAATGCAAGTTGCTGTACTACTGTTTTCTGTAATATATATATATATATGTGTGTGTGTGTGTGTGTGTGTGTGTATGATACATTGTCTGTTGTCTTTCACGTTGGTTAATTATTGAACCTAAAGAGTACTATTTGTCACACCCTTATTTTAATACCTTTCTACGCAAACTGATACGAAGAATCTTAGAAGTCCATAGGTCAAGAAAGAACCGAATCTTAATTTTCAAACTCACTTTTCTGTTTACGATTCTTGTGGTGTTTTCATTTTTTTTTTGGGTCTAATTAACTTTAAACATTATAATTAATTCTAAAAAATCGCGTCACATTACTTCTAGTTCTTTATTTAAAACCTTTGAATCCTCTATAAGCAAAAAAAAAAAAAAAGCATTTGGATGTGTGTTAACCTCTAGATTTTCATGTCATTTCAGCACATTTTTCTTAAGCTTTTGATACTTTTTGGTGCATTGGTGCATATTTTAATACTCAAAGATAGGAAAATATGCATGATGTCTTTGGTTTACACATTATTGCTTAATTGTGCATATTTTGGCTTTAATCTTTGCTATTTATGAGCTTATAGAGTTGCTCTTTTGCAAGGTATATTTTGATCCAAGAATTAAATGTCAAGCCGACTTTGGAAGCCTTTCAAAGATTTTGAGGATCAAGGTTGTGTCATGAAGGTATTATAAGAACAAAGAAGAATCATTAGAAGTGAAAACATGGGTAGAGATCCTTATTTGATGTAGAAGGAGTTTAATTTTCCAGAAGCAAAGTGAGCCGCAGTGCTCTCTAACGTAGCTGCAGCCCAACTGAAATAGAGACAAACTTGGCCACAGCATACTCGCTGATAGCAAAATGCATAGCTCAACTAAGCCTACAAATTTTGACCTTGGATGGCATTCTACACGTCTTGGGCATTCTTGGGAGCTTTGTGTGCTACGGTTTGGGTGTTTGAAGAGTTTGGAACAAGAGATTGAGCTTTGAAAGAGATTTGGAGCTTCATCTTCTTGTTTTTTTCTACTTCTCCCTCCATTTCCTCTCTTGTAATTTGCTATGACTACGAATTTCCTTTGCATTTGTGGCTTGTGGCTAACTATAAGTAGCTAAATAGTTTGTTCTAGGATTATTTTGAACCCTTGTATGGATTAACTCTTGATTGCTCCTTTCTCTTTGTGATTAATGACATATATGTGTTTATTTTACTCTTTTCTTAATGCTTCTAAATACTTGATCACCATTTAGTTGATTTGTTCACTTGATTGATACTTGAGAAGGTTAGGTTAAGTGTAGAACTTGGGTAAAATTGTGTAAGAATTTGAAGTTTACTTGTTGAATGGATAGTTTTGTTGGTAAGGTAGAGATATACTTACCAACCTTGCATAGTCACTTTAGGATTGAAGCTTAAAATTGGGTTTTATTAATTGTAACAAGAGATTGAGCAATTAATGGAATTAAATACTTATACTTGATTTGAGAAAGCTTTTACAAGTCCTTTTTGAATCCTAGACTAACAAATATTTTCATTAAAAACCTTTATGAGAAGAGGTAAATTAAAGGTTATGAAATGCAAGGGAAATGAATAATCCTGGGCCCTTTTATTCCTTGAAGTTTAAGAATCAATTATTTTCATTACTTTCTATTTTTAAATTAAATTTGTTTTCAAAATTAACTTTTCCCATCAAAAATTTGTTTGGCTCAACTTAATTAAATTCACTTAGTCTTTTGTTTGATCTTGATTTTTGCACAAATCTCTATGGGAACGATCTTTTCTCATCATTATATTACTTGTCACGACTAGTGCACTTGCGGTTCGAACAATGTGTAAACCATAACATTGAAAATCCATAACTTATGCAACAGTTAACAAGTTGGAGTCATTTGGTCTTGATTTAAAGGTTGATGTCTCCTTGCTATGCTCATAATGTTTGTTCCCACATGTTTCTTATCTCTTGATTTTCTTTAAAACTAAGGGAAATATAATACTACTCCGGTCCTAATTATAAGACCTCATTTGCAGTCTACCAATGAGGTTTTATAATTAGGACTAGGAGGTAGTATGTTAGTTGCTATAGTTTTATTAATTTTTTGTTAGGTACTTATAGTTTTTCTTTTTCCTTTATTGGGTTTTTATAATTTCCTTACTTATAGATATTGATCTTTATACTTTTAATCTATTAATTAGAGTTGATATGAATGCTTACTAAATTAAACAATAAATAGCTCTCACTCAGCATGCACGTGAATTAAACTAAAACAAAACAAATAAATAAGTAAAGATAATAAAATGAGAAATTACACTCATGTCCTAAGTAAGAAATTGTATTACTACGAGATTCATTGAAATGTTTCAATTAATCTTAAGTCCTAAAAAACCCGTGGATGAGAGATTGCAATTGTGAATTGACCAGATTTTCTTGTTGATATATAGATTGTCATCCTCTCCACCTTTCCTTGTCAATTCCAACTTATTTACTTGTTAATTCTGTCTATATAAATTGTCACTCCGTGATGCAAAATTGTCAAGTAAAAGGGTGCGAGTTGACAACTTATTGTGACTCAGTTGACAAGTACACCAAATGACAACTTACCATGGCCCAATTGACAAGTTAGGGTATTACACAAAGTCACAATTTGTATAAGTACAATTGACAAGAAAAGTCTCGCTTGGTACACAGAATTGATTTTGGTGGAAATAAAAATGGAGATAGATATGGAAATGGATATGGAAAATATGGGATATAAACACACATGTCAGGTATGAGCATGGAAATCATATATAACTTTTAATCAAAATATATATTTTAAATGACAAAATACTAAAATACCCTCAAGATAAAATAACAACCCTCCACCAAAAATCCTCCCTCATCACTGAAAGGTCCTCCGACCAGTGACAACCGACCCTCCATCTCCTTCCCCCTTGCAAGTTCCCACTCATCAGGGTTGTAAGGAGAGTCGGTACTTGCAATGTCTACGTTTCACAACTAACTAATTCCCTTATTTCCCAGTTAAATAAATTCTCCCTTTTTGTAATAGTTGGTCATCTTAAAAAACATGTGCTTATTATGTTTAAGAACATTTAAACTGCCCTTTCTTTACCTAAGAGTTCACTATTTCGTATTGAATTCATTGAAGTCGTCAAAGCAAGTCAAACACAACCCTGATTCCCTTAGCCTATCTTGGCCGAAACGGATAGAAAGCAATAATAATAAAATTAAGTTTATGCATAACATATCAAACACACCTTCAAGCTTATCAAAGGAACCCTTTAACTATATTTCAATTGGCATAACTAACAACATGCATATTTTTCAGCTTTAAAAGAAATCCTTTCATCGGATAACAACAACTAGTTTTGTATGCAATAAGTTTATACATTTATTCTTCTATTTCAATTATATTCAAACATTCTTAGGTCACCACTTCAGGATCCTTAGTCATGTTTCGTTACTTTGAAATACTTGCTTAGTCTTTAGAAATATCCAGACAGCAGGTACAATTAGTTTCAAGTATCCATAATTCAATTCATCATAGGAAGCATTCGACATAACTTATATATATATATCCAGCTTCTATTCTGTTACAGCCACCCATATCCACCCATATATGTTTGTATGTCCATACATACATACATACATACATACATACATACATACATACATACATAATATATATATATATATATATATATATTCTCACATTTACAGCAACCAAGCTCATACCGTAAAATTAGATTAGAACACCTTCTTCCACGGAATTTTTCGGGCAACATGAGTTTACCATATACCCTCCAATTCCTACAACTCAATTCCATTAACATACAAATACTTCAGTGCTTAAGATAACTTCAGACAGCCCCGCTCATTTAGTCTGAAATTATTTTCAAGTGTAAAAACATCTTTTAAATATCTCTAGCACAATTTAATTAATATAATTACTTAGCATAAAGAAGCATCAAACAGCAAAGTCCAAATAAAATTCCAGCACCATACATGCACAGATATCCTTATCTAGCATTTGAGAGCATGAGGCAATAGCCTCCTTCCTATTTTCACTTAAACATTTCGGACTCCACCAGCTTTCCTTCAATAAGCATGTAAACAATACTTATTTCATAACATTATATCATTTGACCATTCCACGATTCCCTAAGATACTACGAACAGCACTTCACCAATTCTGAAACGTTTTCAGTTTTTTAAATTAGCAGTTATTTCATTAGAATCTCTAGCATCTCTCATATAAGAAACAATAAAACACCTCTAGTCCTTCAACATATTCAAATTCATTTTTTTGAAATTGACAATTGACAAGAAGCTTTGTTCAAAGGTAAGGGACCTACAAATATCCTCATCATCGTTTAAATATGATTCCCCATGCCTAATGAAATCTAAATCAGCTAAGAACAATCAGACCCAAGCATTCAGCTTGATATTAAAAGAGGGGAAGAAAAGTATGGTCAGTTTCAATTTCATCAACCAGTTCGGCCTCATGACAGCATCCTTAATTTCCATCATCATATACTAGCTTGATTAAAATTTAGAGAGGGGGCAAAAAAAAAAAAAAAAAGGAATGCAAACAGCGTGGAAACACACATATATCCATATGCATATTTGTCCGCCAGTATTCGGTCCAAGCTAAAAACGCTTCACACAAGCTTTGTTGCATGGCATCACATTGGGCCAAAATTTAAAATCTGAGATTTTCGTTAACATGGGCATCACGTTTTGGGCTTCAGGAATTGGGCTCATATGTGGCCCAATTCTACTTTTGCTGCCTAGGGTGATCAATTTACCCTTTTCGCTCCTTAATTGCCAACTAAATTCCAAAAATTAACTGTTAATACTTTATAAGGATTTTATTCCTTAATTAGCTTCATTAGCCCATAAAATAATTTTCCTAAATTTATTGGCTAAAAATTAACCTCTGACAATTTTTTTGGAATTTCTCAAACAAAATAAGCCTTTAATTTCAAAAATTCTCTTTTACTTTTTAGAAATAAAATGTTTCATATAATTATATATTTTTC